AGGAAGAAACCTCCAGCAGAACCAGGCTCAGTGTGAGCGGCCATCTGCTGAGGCCCACTGGGGTTCAAGGAGACAGAAGCAGACAGAAATAGAAAGGTCCAGAAAACACACACATTCCTTTTATTTTTAAACATTTATTGTTTGTTGCTTTGGAATCAATTTAAATGTTGAGTTTGGACTGCTTTAACATTTATGAAGGATTTATAAAGAATAAACAGATCATTGCATGAATCCACTCACTTGAATGATAAACAAAATTTGCTTAATGTCAGTATTTTTTTTTATGAATGGTGGTTTTATATTAAATATCAGAGACTTTCCGTTGTTATTTTTGTTGGGCAGTTCAGGCAGCAATCAGCAGATTGATGCTTCGATCCATCCTAGAAACCGAATTTAACCCCTGCAGACTTTTCCAGGCTGGGAATTGCTGGTGGAATCAGGAAGAACATGTTGCTCTCCAGGAGGTTTGATGTGAATGAAAATGTGGACAAGCGGCCGAGCCAACCGTGAAGCTTGGTGGAGGATCTGTGATGAACGATTCCTTCTGTAGAGCAGGGACACGCCTTCCCCCTGCAGGAGCGGAGGACGGCACCCCGTTCCGCTGCAACACTGCAGCGCCTGTTAGCCGACACAGACTGTCATCAGTTTTTACAGTTCGGAGTTCCCGTGTGGAGGCTGAAATGGTGACGCCACAGATAAACACGTCACACATCGACTTCCCAGCTGTTTTCCTCCACAAACACCACTGATGGTCCGTGACGTCGCTTCCTGCCTGCATCAGCCATCGGCCATCTTGTCGATGGCGGTGAGAGGAGCGAGGATGCGGCACTTGTTTGTTTCAACGATGCGGCCGTTCTGAATCATCTCGTCCAGGATGATGTGAACAGAGTCCAGGTTAAACATGATCTGATCGCATCGCAGAGTCAAGGAGAAACCAGCAGAGCAGCGAGCATTACAGTCATTTGATGGTTAACAGAGACACTAAAGCCCGGAACGCTCCGACTGGAACGACTTTTTATTCCCTGATCCCATTTATTTCCATGTCACACTGACTGCGTATAAAGAGGCAGGATGGCAGATCTTTTTCATTTGTCTCTGAGATACACGCATTGAAACCATTTCCCACATGTGACTCGGACAGATTATGAAAAGTTATTAATAAAAACCACCGCTGCATTCTATAAAGCAAAGCGAGTCTGAGCAGCATCTAGAACCAGAACAGATAGAGAATGTTCACCTACTAAAATATAATGAGATCTACGTCTGAAGAAAAGAAAAACGCAGCCATAAATGGCGTGGGACGGTTTCCATGGTGACTGAGGCAGAGAGGTGATTCTCAGACTGATCTGAGAAGTTTTTCCCAGTTTTTCTTTCTTTGTTCATAAAGAGGTGAGAGATGCGCTGACCTGCTCTGTCTGCCCATAGAGCTAAACGCGGCATCGGTGCGCGTGTGGTTTCCACAAAGTCATGTGACCGATCCAGGAGTTGTTTCTAACTGACTCACCAAAGTGTTTAAAATCGTATCTGTCAGCATGATGCATCTGATTAAAAAAAAAGTCTCATCTTTTGCATTTTATCATTAAAATGATCGAGAATTTTGGAGCCTAAAAGGAACATTTCAGCTTTTCGGCTTTTATTTTAATTTTCTCGTTGTGTCATCCTTTTCCTCTCAGTTATCACTCAACTTATCCGATTTAAAGTTAATTTCAAATTGACTCTTAGTTTATTTACTGTTTTTACTGCACCTTTTGTTTTAAAAATTCTGATTTAAAATCATTCACATTTTCCCCTAAATTTTCAATTTATGATAAATGTTTACATTATATATTGGCTGCATCTGAAAATAACAAAGATATTTTCAACTTAAACACAGATATGAAATATTACTATAACCTGCAATAACTTAAATTATATCATTGTTCTAGGTCATCAAATTAATTCAGTTTATTCTGTCCAATCAGCTGCCTGTAGTGTCTTTAAATGTCCAGCAGGTGTCAGTGTTCCGTGGGACACGATCAGTTCTGACCTTCAGGATCCCAGTCTGGAGGTTCAGGGCCTCATAATGCTGAATGTAGAGCCAGATGGTTGATTTACTCTATGATTAAAATCTTTAGAAACACCATCTTTCTTCAATCAGGTTGCCTCTGACTGATGCTAAAAAATATAAAATCAGAAAAAGCTGAGGGAAGAGCAAACATTTATCTCTATGCAGGAAACTGATTACTTTTAAAATGATTGTATTCAGCCAAATACAACATTTCCAGGGCAGGAGGGTGGAGGAGGGGAGGAGAGGAGGAGACGGGTCAAACACGTCGGCATAAAGGATACATCCAGTTCACTCTGCAGAGAGAAATAAAGACGGTTAGAGCGGAAACGCTAACAGCTGCTCCTCCAGCACAATAATCCCTGCAGCCATCAGAAGTCTGTCTGCTGACTTTAGAACCACAAAAACATCTTTAACAACCATTGAAGCAGAAACAGGACGTCTGATACTGAATGAAACTAAATTCAAATCATCTGTGTGAAAACAGACAAGTAGAAAACACATTAAAAACTCAATGTTTCGTAATATTAGGAGAATATTTAGAGATTAAAGCCCTAAAAGTACAGTAAAGTCATAAAATTAATTAACATTACGAGAATTGGGTCATAAAATCACTAGAATAAAGTCATAAAATTACAAGAATAAAGTTGCATTTTATACCAACTCTTCCAAGAAGCCCTTTCTTCCCTAAAGTGAGGATTGTGGAGCATCATG